CGCCTCAGTGTCGCTGTTCAGAGGGGAAATGCGTGCTGTATCTTGGGTACACACCCGACCCCCGAGGAGCTGGACGAGGTCTTCGAACATTGTTATATGTGTGTGTTGTCTGTAAACTGTAGCAATGTAATAAAATAAAATAAAATTTATGAAAAAATAGGGGTAGTAGGAGAGAAAAATATCAAAGTGTTCAGAGAGAATCCATAAGATCTTCTCTGAATACTCTTTATTTTCTTCTTCGAGGCTGTGGGTCCCTACAATTGCAGGAGAGGTTATAATAACCCAACTGTTCGTCCCTCACTCATTGAGCACCCAGCCAAACACTGCCTGCACACCACTGTCACCCTCAAGCAACCACCAGCTGATATTAAATCTAAAAATATTAAATGAGGGAGAGCAACAAATGAAGAATTTATTAATTTATAGATAATGAATAAAAACTTAATTGTACACTGCCACCATCTTCCTAAACCAGCTGAAGGTGCCTGTTACTGATCGCCCAGGGAGGACAGAGAGCAATAAACAGGCGATGAGTCACAATAACGGGGCTAAAGTAAGTTGACCAGACCACACACTAGAAGGTGAAGGGACGACGACGTTTCGGTCCGTCCTGGACCATTCTCAATCTACTTGAGAATGGTCCAGGACGGACCGAAACGTCGTCGTCCCTTCAACTTCTAGTGTGTGGTTTGGTCAACAGAGATCAATAAACATGAACTCAGAGGGCGTAGGAATCTTGGTAAAATGTTTAGGGATTATTGAACTCCTACTTTACTAATTTAGGTTCAAGGGCAACTTTAATATCCATTAAGCTGGAGGAGGACACAGAGGACTTCCAAATACTACACATATATACTGTACTACATATAAAAATGACTCATTATTAAAAGGAGGACAGATGTTACTAAACACAAAATACATTAAATCACTTTTTTTAATTAAAACACGGATATTGAAACCAATTTTGAGATATATCCTAGCCTAATAAAGCATTCCTAAGAGGCAAATGTCCTCTACCGATGGACATGAATGTTCAAACACAATTTACCTTAATCTTACAATGGCCAGAGATGCCCAAAGACACACTCAACTTAATATTTTCTTAACCTATATCAGTAGGAACACGCTCTTCCCACTCTAAGTTTTCCTAGGACAAAATAAACCTTCTCAATACTCGAGCCAATTGAAAGTCTCGCTGTAGATTCATGTGCTGATTAGCTCCGCCCACCCTAGGCCTCCCTGGCTAGGGTATAGGCCTCCCTGGCTAGGGTATAGGCCTCCCTGGCTAGGGTATAGGCCTCCCTGGCTAGGCTATAGGCCTCCCTGGCTAGGCTATAGGCCTCCCTGGCTAGGGTATAGGCCTCCCTGGCTAGGCTATAGGCCTCCCTGGCTAGGCTATAGGCCTCCCTGGCTAGGGTATAGGCCTCCCTGGCTAGGCTATAGGCCTCCCTGGCTAGGCTATAGGCCTCCCTGGCTAGGCTATAGGCCTCCCTGGCTAGGCTATAGGCCTCCCTGGCTAGGCTATAGGCCTCCCTGGCTAGGCTATAGGCCTCCCTGGCTAGGCTATAGGCCTCCCTGGCTAGGGTATAGGCCTCCTGGCTAGGGTATAGGCCTCCCTGGCTAGGGTATAGGCCTCCCTGGCTAGGGTATAGGCCTGGCTAGGCTATAGGCCTCCCTGGCTAGGCTAGGCTAGGCTATAGGCCTCCCTGGCTAGGGTATAGGCCTCCCTGGCTAGGCTATAGGCCTCCCTGGCTAGGGTATAGGCCTCCCTGGCTAGGGTATAGGCCTCACTGGCTAGGGTATAGGCCTCCCTGGCTAGGGTATAGGCCTCCCTGGCTAGGGTATAGGCCTCCCTGGCTAGGCTATAGGCTCCCTGGCTAGGCTATAGGCCTCCCTGGCTAGGCTATAGGCCTCCCTGGCTAGGGTATAGGCCTCCCTGGCTAGGCTATAGGCCTCACTGGCTAGGGTATAGGCCTCCCTGGCTAGGGTATAGGCCTCCCTGGCTAGGGTATAGGCCTCCCTGGCTAGGCTATAGGCCTCCCTGGCTAGGCTATAGGCCTCCCTGGCTAGGGTATAGGCCTCCCTGGCTAGGCTAGGGTATAGGCCTCCCTGGCTAGGGTATAGGCCTCCCTGGCTAGGGTATAGGCCTCCCTGGCTAGGGTATAGGCCTCCCTGGCTAGGGTATAGGCCTCCCTGGCTAGGGTATAGGCCTCCCTGGCTAGGCTATAGGCCTCCCTGGCTAGGCTATAGGCCTCCCTGGCTAGGCTATAGGCCTCCCTGGCTAGGGTATAGGCCTCCCTGGCTAGGCTATAGGCCTCCCTGGCTAGGGTATAGGCTATAGGCCTCCCTGGCTAGGGTATAGGCCTCCCTGGCTAGGGTATAGGCCTCCCTGGCTAGGCTCCCTGGCTAGGGTATAGGCCTCCCTGGCTAGGGTATAGGCCTCACTGGCTAGGGTATAGGCCTCAGGCTAGGGTATAGGCCTCCCTGGCTAGGGTATAGGCCTCCCTGGCTAGGGTATAGGCCTCCCTGGCTAGGCTATAGGCTAGGCCTCCCTGGCTAGGGTATAGGCCTCACTGGCTAGGGTATAGGCCTCCCTGGCTAGGGTATAGGCCTCCCTGGCTAGGCTATAGGCCTCCCTGGCTAGGCTATAGGCCTCCCTGGCTAGGCTATAGGCCTCCCTGGCTAGGGTATAGGCCTCACTGGCTAGGGTATAGGCCTCCCTGGCTAGGGTATAGGCCTCCCTGGCTAGGGTATAGGCCTCCCTGGCTAGGCTATAGGCCTCCCTGGCTAGGCTATAGGCCTCCCTGGCTAGGGTATAGGCCTATAGGGTATAGGCCTCCCTGGCTAGGGTATAGGCCTCCCTGGCTAGGGTATAGGCCTCCCTGGCTAGGCTATAGGCCTCCCTGGCTAGGCTATAGGCCTCCCTGGCTAGGGTATAGGCCTCACTGGCTAGGGTATAGGCCTCCCTGGCTAGGGTATAGGCCTCCCTGGCTAGGCTATAGGCCTCCCTGGCTAGGCTATAGGCCTCCCTGGCTAGGCTATAGGCCTCCCTGGCTAGGGTATAGGCCTCCCTGGCTAGGGTATAGGCCTCACTGGCTAGGGTATAGGCCTCCCTGGCTAGGGTATAGGCCTCCCTGGCTAGGGTATAGGCCTCCCTGGCTAGGCTATAGGCCTCCCTGGCTAGGCTATAGGCCTCCCTGGCTAGGCTATAGGCCTCCCTGGCTAGGGTATAGGCCTCCCTGGCTAGGCTATAGGCCTCCCTGGCTAGGGTATAGGCCTCCCTGGCTAGGGTATAGGCCTCACTGGCTAGGGTATAGGCCTCACTGGCTAGGGTATAGGCCTCCCTGGCTAGGGTATAGGCCTCCCTGGCTAGGCTATAGGCCTCCCTGGCTAGGCTATAGGCCTCCCTGGCTAGGCTATATAGGCCTCCCTGGCTAGGGTATAGGCCTAGGGTATAGGCCTCCCTGGCTAGGGTAGGCCTCCCTGGCTAGGGTATAGGCCTCCCTGGCTAGGGTATAGGCCTCCCTGGCTAGGGTATAGGCCTCCCTGGCTAGGGTATAGGCCTCCCTGGCTAGGGTATAGGCCTCCCTGGCTAGGCTATAGGCCTCCCTGGCTAGGCTATAGGCCTCCCTGGCTAGGCTATAGGCCTCCCTGGCTAGGGGCCTATAGGCCTCCCTGGCTAGGGTATAGGCCTCCCTGGCTAGGGTATAGGCCTCCCTGGCTAGGCTATAGGCCTCCCTGGCTAGGGTATAGGCCTCCCTGGCTAGGCTATAGGCCTCCCTGGCTAGGCTATAGGCCTCCCTGGCTAGGCTATAGGCCTCCCTGGCTAGGGTATAGGCCTCACTGGCTAGGGTATAGGCCTTCCTGGCTAGGGTATAGGCCTCACTGGCTAGGGTATAGGCCTCCCTGGCTAGGCTATAGGCCTCCCTGGCTAGGCTATAGGCCTCCCTGGCTAGGCTATAGGCCTCCCTGGCTAGGGTATAGGCCTCACTGGCTAGGGTATAGGCCTTCCTGGCTAGGGTATAGGCCTCTCCTGAAAGTTCCTAATTGTTTCTGTACAATTGTGAATCGTTTACACGCTATAGACCCGCCATATATGGCAACAGTCACCCAACGACATTTGGGACTACAAATTCAAATCTAATTCAAATGTTTATTCAGGTAAAGTACATACATACAAGGTGAGATACAAACATTGCTAGGTTTATAGATAGAGCTAGTACATACAATGCCTAAAGCCACTATTACGCAAAGCGTTTCCGGCAGGAAAAACATTAAAGACTAAAACTTAAACGTAGAACTACAGTTTATTGGCCCTGTAATTCGTCCCTGGCTAGTGGGGACAGGAGGAACAGGGGGAACGGTTGGAAAGGGGATTGGAAAGAGGATTGGTTATCAGAAGATTAGGGAATAGGGGGATTGGACAGCAGGAGGGGACGAGTGGCTTGAAACTTCCCACGTGCCTAAGGGAAATTTCACTCGAGTAGTTTATGGCCATTTCTGACCAGCCTGGGATTCGAACCCGGGATTCCCGATTGTGAGTCGAGAACTAGACGATATATAATAAAAAAAAATCGGTTAATTTAAAAAAAAAACTCCTCCGCAGTGAGTAGGATTCGAACCTACGCGGGAAGATCCCATCTGATTTCTAGTCAGACGCCTTAACCACTCTGCCATCACTGCTCTACATTAACCAATGTTTACATGAAAAAAAATTATTATATACACTGTATTGAATGATTTAAGTTTACTTCAAGTGCTAATTAACTGTTAATACAACAATAATTAACATTTACGCTCCATCTAAGCACCTGACAGCTGAATTGCCACCTAAAAAAACATTCTACAAGACACCAACAATATGATAATGGGGGAAAAAAATATAATATTAATTAATATAAATAATGTATATATATTTGTTAAATTCCAAGCAGTGATGGCCGAGTGGTTAAGGCGTCTGACTAGAAATCAGATGGGATCTTCCCGCGTAGGTTCGAATCCTACTCACTGCGGAGGGTTAGTAAATCTGTTTTTCCTGAGCATAAACATTCAATGGTTCTGTCATTATTTGGGATAAATTGGCTTGTGGATCCATACAGCATGTATGACGGGTCATACAGCATGTATGGCGGGTCATACAGCATGTATGACGGGTCATACAGCATGTATGGCGGGTCATACAGCATGTATGGCGGGTCATACAGCATGTATGACGGGTCATACAGCATGTATGACGGGTCATACAGCATGTATGGCGGGTCATACAGCATGTATGGCGGGTCATACAGCATGTATGGCGGGTCATACAGCATGTATGGCGGGTCATACAGCATGTATGGCGGGTCATACAGCATGTATGGCGGGTCATACAGCATGTATGGCGGGTCATACAGCATGTATGGCGGGTCATACAGCATGTATGGCGGGTCATACAGCATGTATGGCGGGTCATACAGCATGTATGGCGGGTCATACAGCATGTATGGCGGGTCATACAGCATGTATGGCGGGTCATACAGCATGTATGGCGGGTCATACAGCATGTATGGCGGGTCATACAGCATGTATGACAGGGCAAAAAGACTGCCTACGAAAAGTCTGATGTAAAAGGCCATTCACATCATTCTACTCGATTCCCCCCAGAGGAGAGGCTGAACTGCCCGAAGCCAACCACAACAGTTTCATGAATCACCCGGCTTCCAGCCCCTTCCCCTTACTATCCCAGTTCCTGTCTCCTGTCTGGGACGGCGACAGCCCCTGTCTCCTGTCTGGGACGGGGACAGTCCCTGTCTCCTGTCTGGGACGGGGACAGTCCCTGTCTCCTGTCTGGGACGGCGACAGTCCCTGTCTCCTGTCTGGGACGGGGACAGTCCCTGTCTCAGCCCCGCAATCCAATCAAAATTCTGAACTTGGAATTAAGTAAAGAGGCAGCCCGAACAGGGACTCGAACCCTGGACCCTTAGGTTAAAAGCCTAATGCTCTACCGACTGAGCTATCCGGGCTTGGAGGAAGTTCATTTTGTCTCTAACAAAAAAAGTTTCTTAGTTTTGTAAACTGTAAATGTTTGGGATTGTTATATAAAGCACTGAGGGAGATTACACAGCCTTACTCTATGTGTGGTGGTGTATCTTGGCTGGCTGGCTGACTGGCTGGCTGGGTGGTTGGCTGCATGGCTGGATGGATGGCTACTGGCTGGCTGGCTGGATGGATGGATGGCTGCTGGGTGGTTGGCTGGCTGGCTGGCTGGCTGGCTGGCTGGCTGGCTGGCTGGCTGGCTGGTTGGCTGGCTGGCTGGCTGGTTGGCTGGCTGGCTGGCTTCTGGCTGCCTGGCTGCCTGGCTGGCTGGCTGCCTGGCTGGCTGGCTGGCTGCTGGCTGCCTGGCTGCTGGCTGCCTGGCTGCTGGTTGCCTGGCTGGCTACCTGCCTGGCTATCTGGCTGGCTGGCTGCTTGGCTGGCTGCTTGGCCGACTGACTGGCTGACTGCCCGAATAAAGTCTTGGGATAAAACTATGGCCAAAAATGTTTCTTGACAGCCTGTCCTCGTCAACACAACTCATCCTCCAACACAGCGCGTCCTCATAAGCTCAGCCCGTCGGAGTCGGCCCTAGTGCCGGCCTCTAAGAGATATCAGCATCTATAGTGACCCCCCCGCAATGAAATCTTCACTAAGTCCAGAGATTTGTTTCTCATAAAGGTGAGAGAGAGAGAGAGAGAGAGAGAGAGAGAGAGAGAGAGAGAGAGAGAGAGAGAGAGAGAGAGAGAGAGAGAGAGAGAGAGAGAGAGAGAGAGAGAGAGAGAGAGAGAGAGAGAGAGAGAGAGAGAGAGAGAGAGAGAGAGAGAGAGAGAGAGAGAGAGAGAGAGAGAGAGAGAGAGAGAGAGAGAGAGAGAGAGAGAGAGAGAGAGAGAGAGAGAGGGAGAGATTATGAGAACCTGGTAAATCCAATTGAAAAACACAAACAGGCAAGTAGATCCAAGCAGTGATGGCCGAGTGGTTAAGGCGTCTGACTAGAAATCAGATGGGATCTTCCCGCGTAGGTTCGAATCCTACTCACTGCGGATAATGTTTTGTAGTCTAATTTTATCCGCATATATCTTCGCCATCCTGATCACCGTCAGTGACACAGTGACGTAATACTGGCGGGAAAGTCTTGGTCATGGCGGCGCTATGACCTTAAGAAACCTGTTGACTCTAGTTATTTACTCCAGGAAGGTCAATTAGGTCATGAATAGTAAAGGACAGTTTTCCGAATCATCGCCTAATTATGCTCCCAGCCCGGATAGCTCAGTCGGTAGAGCATTAGGCTTTTAACCTAAGGGTCCAGGGTTCGAGTCCCTGTTCGGGCGAGTCGTTTTAGTCAGTAGAAAAGTATATACGATGCATATTCTGTAAAGTTTTTGTGTATATAATTTCGGAAATCTTTGCCCCAAACACTTTACACTTACAAGTCATTTAGATCGTCCAGAGACACTTACAACTATGGGTACTTGTGGAGTCCTTAACAACCCATCCTCGTGTGTATATAGTACTTGTTGTAACTATGTCGACCATCGTCCATTGAACGTAATGGGCAGTTAGATAGTAGCATTTGGTACTATTCACTTTATACAGTTGAGAAATAAAGCTAAAATCCAAACCTAAATATCCCAAGGCCTAGTATAGCTTATATAACACATTGAAGCCTATTAAGAATCATCAAAATTTGCCTCACTATACCTATTAATAATTTATCAGTTAGGTTAAGGCTCTGACCAAACCGCTTTGCGTGTTGCTTTACAATAATGTAAAAACATCAATATTATGTACTCTTACAAACCCAATATAGTCTCTGTGGTGTAGTGGTAAGACACTCGCCTGGCGTTCCGCGAGCGCTATGTCATGGGTTCGTATCCTGGCCGGGGAGGATTTACTGGGCGCAATTCCTTAACTGTAGCCTCTGTTTAACGCAACAGTAAAATGTGTACTTGGTTGTAACAACGATTCTTCGCGGCGGGGATCGTATTCCAGGGACCATAGGATTAAGGACTTGCCCGAAACGCTACGCGTACTAGTGGCTGTACAAGAATGTAACAACTCTTGTATATATCTCAAAAAAAAAAAATATATACCTTCTTGTATAAATAAATAAAACCATATATGTACTACATTATATTAGACCTAGTAGGAGAGTTAACTTGCATTAACAAATACAAACCTTTTCCACTTTGTCCAAAATCAATTGTATCACAATCTAAATAAAGTCAAAAATGCACAAAGCGTTTCGGGCATAACTTGAACATGATTCAATTAATTTACCTGAATTTACCCGAGGGTCCAGTTGAACTCTTTAGTGGCCTAATCCGACGACGACAGGAAGCCGGCGACTTGTCAAATGTTACCCCCCCCCCCCCCGCCCAATTTTCCTGTTAGTGTTTAACAATGTAAACACTTGACAAGGCATACAACCCTTGTGTATATTAGCCACGGACTGAAGAAACAATGACTCGTGCCCGGGGCTATACATGCCCATGCCCGGGGCTATACATGCCCATGCCCGGGGCTATTCCTGCCCGTGCCACCTCCTGGGATGGGTTATTCTTCATCTATTAATCAGGAAACAATGGGTCCTGTCGTGGGGTCTCGCCTGCTGCCCCCCACTGCCAGCCTCACCACACTGTAGCTCCTCTCTACAACTTTACGAAAACGAATAACTTTTTTTGTTGTTTTTTTTTGAGATATATACAAGAGTTGTTACATCCGTACCAGCCACTAGTACGCGTAGCGTTTCGAGCAAGTCCTTAATCCTATGGTCCCTGGAATACGATCCCCGCCGCGAAGAATCGTTTTTTCATCCAAGTACACATTTTACTGTTGCGTTAAACAGAGGCTACAGTTAAGGAATTGCGCCCAGTAAATCCTCCCCGGCCAGAATACGAACCCTGGCCGGGTTCGTGACATAGCGCTCGCGGAACGCCAGGCGAGTGTCTTACCACTACACCACGGAGACTGCTAGGAAACAATGGAAAGGAAACTCTGTCAACAAACTCTGTAGGAGTTTCTGTAGGAAACTCTGTCAACAAACTATACTCCATTGACACACCGGCCGTGGCCCTTCCTATATACATAGTTCCTGTAGCCCTAATGCTTATCTTAGCCGACAGTAGTGACGAATATATTTACCTACACTTCGACACAGTCGGAAACACTTCGACACAGTCGGGAACACTTCGACACAGTCGGGAACACTTCGACACAGTCGGGAACACTTCGACACAGTCGGGAACACTTCGACACAGTCGGAAACACCTCGACACAGTCGGAAACACTTCGACACAGTCGGAAACACTTTGATACAGTCGGGAACACTCCCACACAGGACCGGTGGTGACTCTCAACTGAACCGTTCGAGACGTGTCTCTCCGGAGTGAAGCCATTCATGACACCGCTCGAAGCGTGTCTCAACGCCTCACAACACTGCTTATTAAAATGTTTCACTCATCTCCAATAATAATTATAATAATCATCATTTTATATTGAAGCAAAAGTACATACATACATACATAAATAGGACACAAGACTATGTAGAGGATATAGACTATGAGAGGATAGAGGTCAGCTTTCAGCCTCTGATTCTGCTATTGAGTTCAATAGGTTCTTCTCTTCCATTGGTTCATCCCTTGCAAATGATATTCCATTTTCCAGTACTGACATTAAGGACTATCTTACAGGTAACTATCCACAGTCTCTGTACCTAAAGCCTATTAACTCCACTGACGTCAATGAGATAATCCTTTCCCTTAAAACCAAGTCTAGTGCCCTTGAGGAGATACCAACTTTAATTTACAAAAAAGCCTCCAGATCTTTAGCCCCTGCTATTGCTTTGCTCTTCAACAAGTCACTTGAACTCCAAACCTTTCCAGATATTCTAAAAAAAGCGAGAGTAACGCTTGTCCACAAATGTGGTGACCCCACAGATGTTAACAACTACAGACCTATATCAATCCTGCCAAACTTGTCAAAAAATTTTGAAAAACTTATATATAAGCAGCTTTACTCATATCTAGCCAAACTCAATATACTTAGCCCTTGCCAATATGGCTTCAGACCCAAAAAAAGCACTAACGATGCACTTATTAGTATGCTTAACTCGATTCATACAGCTCTTGATGAAAAGGAGTTCCCTGTTGGGTTGTTTGTGGACCTGCGTAAAGCTTTTGATACTGTCAACCACCATAACCTTCTTCTTAAATTACATCATTATGGAGTCAGAGGACACTCCCTACAATACCTCGAGTCCTACCTTACTGACAGGCTCCAATATGTTTCTGTGAATAATACAATTTCTCCCACCCTACCCATCAACATTGGTGTTCCTCAGGGCAGCATACTTGGCCCTCTCCTCTTTCTCATCTACATTAATGACCTTCCAAATGCCTCCCAACACCTCAAACCAATTCTATTTGCTGACGACACAACCTTCATTTACTCCAGTCCTGACCCTCTTGCTCTAAATGCCACAGTAAATACTGAGCTAAATAAAGTCCATCTTTGGCTAACTGCCAACAAACTCACCCTTAACATTGACAAAACTTTCTATATTCTGTTTGGCAATAAATCCTCTAGTCATATAAATCTCAAAATAAACAATACCCAAATTTGTAACAAATTAGATGGCAAATTCCTTGGCATTCTCATTGACCACAAGCTGAATTTCCAGGGTCACATTCTAAACATATCAAAAAAAGTTTCAAAAACTGTGGGCATTCTTTCTAAGATCAGATATTATGTACCACGCCCTGCCCTGGTGACTCTCTATTACTCCCTTATCTATCCTTATCTCAACTATGGTATTTGTGCTTGGGGTTCTACTACCCAAAATCACTTACGTCCTCTAATTACCCAACACAAAGCTGCTATTAGAACAATATCCAACTCTGGCCCCAGACATCACTCGGTACCCCTACTCAAATCTCTTAATATGTTAGATATTAAGTCACTGCACATTCTCTCATGTGTATTATACATATATAAAACGCTGAACTGTAATGCCAATCCTGATCTTAAAAGCTTCATAGAAGGTTGTATCAGAACCCATGAGCATCACACCAGAAATAAATACAGTTTTGATATTCCAAGAGTACGACTTAATCAAACTAGAAATGCTCTGCAAATCAAGGGGCCCAGAATGTGGAATGACCTTCCCAACCATGTTAAAGACTGTACCTCTCTCAACCAGTTTAAGATAAAAACTAAACACTACCTAATAAATTCCCTGTAATCTACCTCACTCCTCTATTGTCAACCCATGTCTGTTATTTTCTTTTTTTTTTTAATCAACACTGTTTGTCAACCTATTGTATTTGTGCTGCTTTTTCAGTCATGTTCCCCCTTTTTTTTATCTTTATTTGTATTTGTTCTCAACACTTTTTATTCTTTATGCTCAATTAGTATTAAGTTCTAGATATTAATGTTTTTCTTGCCCGAAACGCATTGCGTAATAGTGGCTTTAGGCATTGTATGTACTAGCTCTATCTATATATCAATCCATTAATGTAACATCACTTGTATGTATATACCTTACCTGAATAAACATCTGAATCTGAATCTGAATCTGAATATACAGGTAAAACACGGACAAAGCCTCAAGCCATTAACACACACACAGTTTCACTCCATGATGTGGACAAAATTACCTTAAAAACACAACGAAATTAAAACTAATTGAGATCAAAGGCAGAACTGAATTGAAGTAGAGAAATAGAACAAAATAATTATATACATGGTCACTGGAACATCAGAAATTGCAGCCGATTGTAATTTTCACAATAAATTCAAAGGAATAACAAATTTTATTAATTTTTTTACACAGCAGATAACAGCTGTACTAAGTACAGGTTCAGTAATTAATGTTCAATAACGCCAAACTATATTTTGACATTTAGGAAGTAAGTTAAGTTACATGGAGTTTATCAGGTAATTCTTAGTTTCTGATTTAACTTAACCTACGCTAAAATATGCATACGCTGCTAATATATATATAATAACCTCTGGAGGGTTATTAAGGCCTGGCAACCACTGGAGGGTTATTTATCTGAATTTACCTAACACTCCAGTGGCCTCGATGAGGACAGCAAGCCGGGGGCTTGTCAAAGGTCCCATAATTTGTCCTCATTATTTTGTCTAGCTGATTTTAAAGTTCAGGAGTTTTCTTGCCATTCAAGGCTTCAGCGGGTAGGCGGTTCAATGGGTTTATAACATTATGGGCGAAAAAGCATCTCCTGTTTACAGTCCTACCGTCCTTTCAGCTCCTAAATTAAAGCCTATTAATCTCTGGAGGGTTGTTAAGGTCTATCAACCTCTGGAGGGTTATTAAGGCCTATCAACCTCTGGAGGGTTATTAAGGCCTATCAACCTCTGGAGGGTTGTTAAGGTCTATCAACCTCTGGAGGGTTATTAAGGCCTATCAACCTCTGGAGGGTTGTTAAGGTCTATCAACCTCTGGAGGGTTATTAAGGTCTATCAACCTCTGGAGGGTTATTAAGGCCTATCAACCTCTGGAGGGTTGTTAAGGTCTATCAACCTCTGGAGGGTTATTAAGGCCTATCAACCTCTGGAGGGTTGTTAAGGTCTATCAACCTCTGGAGGGTTGTTAAGGTCTATCAACCTCTGGAGGGTTATTAAGGCCTATCAACCTCTGGAGGGTTATTAAGGCCTATCAACCTCTGGAGGGTTATTAAGGGCTATCAACCTCTGGAGGGTTATTAAGGCCTATCAACCTCTGGAGGGTTATTAAGACCTATCAACCTCTGGAGCTTTATTAAGGCCTATCAACCTCTGGAGGGTTATTAAGACCTATCAACCTCTGGAGCTTTATTAAGGCCTATCAACCTCTGGAGGGTTATTAAGGCCTATCAACCTCTGGTGGGTTATTAAGGCCTATCAACCTCTGGAGGGTTATTAAGGCCTATCAACCTCTGGAGGGTTATTAAGACCTATCAACCTCTGGAGGGTTATTAAGACCTATCAACCTCTGGAGCTTTATTAAGGCCTATCAACCTCTGGAGGGTTATTAAGACCTATCAACCTCTGGTGGGTTATTAAGGCCTATCAACCTCTGGAGGGTTATTAAGGCCTATCAACTTCTGGAGGGTTATTAAGGCCTATCAACCTCTGGAGGGTTATTAAGACCTATTAACCTCTGGAGGGTTATTAAGGCCTATCAACCTCTGGAGGGTTATTAAGGCCTATCAATCTCTGGTGGGTTATTAAGGCCTATCAACCTCTGGAGGGTTATTAAGGCCTATCAACCTCTGGAGGGTTATTAAGGCCTATCAACCTCTGGAGGGTTATTAAGACCTATCAACCTCTGGAGGGTTATTAAGACCTATCAACCTCTGGAGGGTTATTAAGACCTATTAACCTCTGGAGGGTTATTAAGGCCTATCAACCTCTGGTGGGTTATTAAGGCCTATCAACCTCTGGAGGGTTATTAAGGCCTATCAACCTCTGGAGGGTTATTAAGGCCTATCAACCTTTGGAGAGTTATTAAGGCCTATCAATTTCTGGAGGGTTATTAAGACCTATCAACCTCTGGAGGGTTATTAAGACCTATCAACCTCTGGAGGGTTATTAAGACCTATCAACCTCTGCAGGGTTGATAGGTCCTCACAAGACCGCCGGACTCGTAAGGTGATGACAATGGTAGCATTACACACAGAAATCACAATTGCGTGATGCATCAAATGAACAAATCCACAAGGGCCGTGACGAGGATTCGAACCTGCGTCCGAGAGCATCCCAGACGCTGCCTTAATCGACTGAGTAAGTTCAGTAGAACTTCAGTTTCAACTCCTTTTGACCATGTCGTAGCTCAGTCGATTAATTCAGCGTCTGGGATGCTCTCGGACGCAGGTTCGAATCCTCGTCACGGCCCTTGTGGATTTGTTCAATGGTAGCATGCTGGGTTTGGAGCCTGCGTCGCCACGTACACGCATGTGCTTGGCTATCAGTGCCCATGGGAAGCGAGATCTAGCTCCGTGGCCCCACCGAGCAACTGGTTAAATGGTGTACTGATTTTTCTCAATTGTTTTAGTAATGTAATACCTACTCTTAAGGCTTGTTTCAAAATATCATCTCCCTGACTCGGGACAAGATGTGACTGTTAATCTTAGCATGTGCAACTCTTCAAGTAACCTCATATTTTATCTTACAAGGTCCTGCTAAACTTTCTTTAACAATAGGTGACATTTTAAGACAGACAAAAAAAAAAATGGATCAATATAGACCAAGTTTATTTACATAAAATTTCCCACACATCTGAAATTGTTTGTTAACAAGGCACACACCATCATGACTAGAAATGACCATATTAAAGTGTGTGCCATTAAACAACAACAATACAAATATATTTCAGTACTGAACTATTTTCTTGACAAAAACAATTCACTACACTCAACAAGTTTTACATAAAAAGTGCTAAAATGTCAATTGTTTTGCAAGCTATTAACTTTGTTTGGATTCCCCTCCGCGCTTTTAATATTTGTGTGTGCAGTCTTGAGCAAAGTGCCTCCAACAATGCCAGCGAACAGCAGGAGACCGATGTGGCGGTTTGCTCGGAACTTCTGACCACAGTCGCCCGGGTTGTTGACATCCAGCGTCCACACCTGGCCGTACGTTAAAAACAAAAGGCAATCAATCAATCAATTTCTGTATTGTGAAATTTAATATACGTCAAATGTATTGGTGAAAAACCTGCTAATGGCTAAGAACATGATCACTGTGAATGGCATAATAGAGGTTCTTGGTCTACCAACAGACCGAGAACAGATTTGCAAGTTTTTATTTTCTTGTACTGTAGCTTGCAGGAAAGAGAGCATCCCATGACCGTCAAAACAGGTGATGTATGTCACACCCAGCAGCTAGTTCCACAGTCCCTGACAGAAGAACAAGAACTTCCCAAACTAAGTTTGGGAAGCGAGGAAGCGGTCTGCCAGGCTTCATGCCTGCCCGGGGTGGTGGGTGGGAGATGGCCTGGTTTGCCCACTGACCGTGTTGGGCACAACTCTAGTACCTTCTACCCAGTGACGTCACAGATTCACTTTGTTCCCATTGTTTTGATTTGTCACGAGACTGGAGTGTTCATTCAGTGACTTTGTTGGATATATCTGCACAATCTAGGAACATCCGTGCGCCATATCGGCTCCAAATGCACGCACTGTGTCAGTGAAAGCATCCACAAGCGGGACACGTAAAAGAAAGAGGTCAGTGATGACATTTGAGAAGAAAGTTGAAATAATTAAGAAGGTGGAGAGCAGAGTCCCAAGAAGTGTCGTGTGCGCTGAATATGGCATTAGCAAAGGCACTGTTTTTTATCTTCTTAAGGATAAACATATCATTTTTTTACTATTTCTTTAGAAGTGAAAGTGATAAGCCAATACAAAATAGAAAAGCAGTAAATAAAGCAAAAGTGGAAAGTGTTGATAATGCAGAGTGGGAGTGGTACAAACAGAGGTGGAAGGGAGAGCAGCAGTGAGCGTGCTTATAAATAAAATAAGATAAAATAATAAGATAAAAATCTTATCTCTGAGGGGCTGATTTACAAATGCAACATTTTACTCTCTCGAATTGCCTTTCTCAGGTGACATGCCCGAAGCCCCTTTCCCCATCTGTCAACAGCATGCGGTGATCACATTTAGAATGGATGCATTAAAATACTGAGAAAATCCAAGACTTTTACATCACCCATGTCACCGATTCTGAACCAGATATACACAAAGGTCAAGATAGGTTGAATACATTCATCACGACCTCTCAATACTCACTTAAGATCCAACCATTGTAAACTATTTACCAATAGATATACAAATAATACCCTTTGTTATGCCCCTTATTACCATGACACAAATTCATTTGATGGATAAATGATGTTAATACTAACCCAAAATTTCACCACAGCACTCATGGAAGGTCCAAACTCAAATAATAACTTTTACCTTAAATTTTGGCTGCCCCACATTCATTGCTGAGGAGAGCTAAGGTTGACAGGTTATTGAAAACAGATCTAGTAGAGGCAATCTTTTTTTTTGGGGGGGCGGGGGTGGGGGGGTGGGGGGAATCACATATTGGAACTGACCAGTTGTTTATTTAGCACCGAATTTTCCCAAAAGTGTACATTTTGCCGAGTGTTTCACATCCAGGCCCCAATTACTGCCGGGTGCACAGGGACTAACAGTGAACGAACAACACCTGATGATCCCTCGCTGCCCAGAACTTGATGTTGTGCTTTATTCCAGAGGGTAAGTGCTAACATGCTCTTTAGTTGTAATAATAAGGTGGCTCTTTCCTCCTTTCTGTAACCAACCCTCTACAGCACGACACTAAACTGACAGAGCAGGACACAACTTCCTGGACCAAACCCTCTACAGCAGGACACTAAACTGACAGAGCAGGACACAACTTCCTGGACCAAACTCTCTACAGCAGGACACTAAACTGACAGAGCAGGACACAACTTCCTGGACCAAACCCTCTACAGCACGACGCTAAACTGACAGAGCAGGACACAACTTCCTGGACCAAACCCTCTACAGCAGGACACTAAACTGGCAGAGCAGGACACAACTTCCTGGACCAAACCCTCTACAGCAGGACGCTAAACTGACAGAGCAGGACACAACTTCCTGGACCAAACCCTCTACAGCAGGACGCTAAACTGACAGAGCAGGACACAACTTCCTGGACCAAACCCTCTACAGCAGGACGCTAAACTGACAGAGCAGGACACAACTTCCTGGACCAAACCCTCTACAGCACGACACTAAACTGACAGAGCAGGACACAACTTCCTGGACCAAACCCTCTACAGCAGGACACTAAACTGACAGAGCAGGACACAACTTCCTGGACCAAACCCTCTACAGCAGGACACTAAACTGACAGAGCAGGACACAACTTCCTGGACCAAACCCTCTACAGCAGGACACTAAACTGACAGAGCAGGACACAACTTCCTGGACCAAACCCTCTACAGCACGACACTAAACTGACAGAGCAGGACACAACTTCCTGGACCAAACCCTCTACAGCAGGACGCTAAACTGACTCTACAGCAGGACACTAAACTGACAGAGCAGGACACAACTTCCTGGACCAAACCCTCTACAGCAGGACACTAAACTGACAGAGCAGGACACAACTTCCTGGACCAAACCCTCTACACAGGACGCTAAACTGACAGAGCAGGACACAACTTCCTGGACCAAACCCTCTACAGCACGACACTAAACTGACAGAGCAGGACACACCGAGCAATATGGCCTGCGTTCAAGTCCTGGCCGCAGGGAAGATTGTCTGGGCACCAATTATTAACTGTTCACCCCTGTTCACCCAGCAGTAACAGAGGACTTGTTTGCTGAACGACTGGCGGGTCGTGTTCCGGGGTAAAACTAGTAGGGTAAGGCTTACCATGAGCTATGGCAAGAGATAGCTCTCAGCCTGCTAAAAAAGTCAAAAGTAGTCTGCTCCTGTACACACCTGTATAAAGACAAAAACTGAGAAAAAGAGCAAAAATACACACCTGGTTTGCTATGTGTGCCACAGTGGCCGTCACAGCCAGGTAGTACGGCCATGCCAGTTCGGAATTATAGCCGACGAGCAGTAAACTGGAGGTCATCATCACACCGAAGCCACTGAGCCATTTCCAGGTTGTGTCGCCAAACTTCAATGCTGTCGACTTGATGCCAATTATCACATCGTCATATTTGTCCTGAAAGGATAAATACATTACTGGTGATATATAAATAACATCATCTGTCAAGACCATGTAATTTCTTCCATGTATCAGAACATAAAATACATTTATTAACGTACCAAATAACTGAATTAGTACAGAAAAGATTATTGTAATATACTTATAAATATTAAGCAGCTCGGAGAAAATAGAAACTGATGAAATAAAAATTTGAGATACTGTATAAGAAAGCGGTATTATGCACTGATGATCGAGACAATTATCTAATGGGGATCCTGGCTATGACAATTATTATCTAATGGGGATCCTGGCTGTGACAATTATTATCTAATGGGGATCCTGGCTGTGACAATTATTATCTAATGGGGATCCTGGCTGTGACAATTATTATCTAATGGGGATCCTGGCTGTGACAATTATTATCTAACAGGGATCCTGGTCAAATATGAGCCTAAACCAAATAAAGGTAAACCTTGCTCATGAGGCGCAGGACGAGTGTGTCGCCACACACTGCCACGCACCACCAGGGACCCTTCTCATGTGCTGCTCATGCATAATTACCTTCCCAACATGTATGGATTTTCAAAATGGGTCTAGCATTTACCTGGTGTGCATAAATTGTGTCATATATGAGAGTCCAGGCTATGCCCGCTGTGTAGAGAGGAAGACAGATGCTCCAGTCACACGAACCAAGCACCGCAGCCCAGCCCAGGAGCGCTCCCCAGTTGAACGTGAAGCCCAACATGAGCTGCGGCCAGTACGTTACACGTTTCATCAGGGGATATAGTACAACCAAGCCTGTTGAGCAATGTCTTTTATTACACAATGGCAGACCTTAGAGGCCTCATCGTGGTGGTTCACAAGATATTGTATATCTAACATTTCGTAAAAAGTTACTATAATAAAGTCATACATATATTAACAGGACAATATACAGGAAATTGCAAGGCAGAGCAAACATTGTATGCAGTATGAGACACGGTAGAACATTGTATGCAGTATGAGACACGGTAGAACATTGTATGCAGTATGAGACACAGTAGAACATTGTATGCAGTATGAGACACAATAGAACATTGTATGCAGTATGACACAGAGTAGAACATTGTATGCAGTATGAGACAAAGTAGAACATTGTATGTAGTATGAGACACAGTAGAACACTGTATGCAGTATGAGACACAGTAGAACACTGTATGCAGTATGAGACACAGTAGAACATTGTATGCAGTATGAGACACAGTAGAACATTGTATGCAGTATGAGACACAGTAGAACATTGTATGCAGTATGAGACAAAGTAGAACATTGTAGGCAGTATAAGACCTGTGATTCTCCAATACTCTTCAGTTAACAACAACGTTCTTACCAAGTGAGCTGGCCCCGAGCAGCACCGCGTACATATTAAGCTGCAGGAGGACAAGGCAGCCCAGGCTCAGCTGCGTACCCAGGCACACGAGAGCATCAAACATCGAGAGCGTACCACTGGCTAAAGGTCGGCCCGCTGTTCGAGCCACCTGAAACGACCAACACCACATCAGCTTACACTCTTACACTTGTTATATGACAAAGAGTGCTGGGAAAACGGGACACCACGAGCGTAGCTCTCATCCTGTTTCTACACTTAGGTAATTAGGTAATTACTCACTCCATGTCTTGTGTCTTCCTGCATCTGGATAAGGTTGAGAAATGTTAAAGGAGTGCGTATTGGAGAAGGGTCTAGAACGGATTGAAACGTTGCCACTTTCCTTTATGGGCTGGGAATTCATTTTCAGTCACATTAATGTGAATTATTCTTGGCTGTGATGGAGAGATTTGTAAGACTGGCAATTGCTTCTGAAAAAGCAGCATAAAGACTGAACACAGTTGATGGAGCTCATAAGAGAGAGACCTTATATAAGCACACAACACAGCTTTACAGGCAAGAAAGCAGCAGTATTAGATCAACAAAAGAGGAGTGTGCAAGGTGAAACGAAAGAAAGTGTATAGAGTGGAAGAAGAGAATCGTATAATGAATGAAAGGAATGTTAGACTGGGAGACAAACAAGGACTACGAGATAGTGTACTACCGTGCTCCTGGCCCTGACAGAAGTGAAACGTGTATGTACAAAATGGCAGAGTTCTCAAGAATACGGACAGTGGAAATTATTTTTTGTATACTGTATAGAAAAGCAACTGGTGTAAGTATGAGGGATAGACAAAGCATTGCAACAGTACACAAGACATGTTTTGAGCAACAGTGGTGAGTGAAATGTGGAGTTGTGGGTGCGAGTGAAGCACAATTAATTTCACAATGGTCAAATAAAAGATCATATAGTAAAGAGAGGTGACCTTTATCTTGCAAGTGAAGCTCTCTTCCAAGATAAACTCTCATCCAAGAAAGGAAGAGAAGAGGAGCAAGAGAACTCAATAAAGGTTTATGTGGTGATAAACAAAGTACATTTCTCCCCTCCCCCCCCCCCCTGAAGAAATGTGCTTCCCCCCCCCCCCACGATATGAAGCTCCCAGGAGGAATATGGCATTAGGGCAATAAATAGAAGAAGTAAACATAATAGCTTGACAATAAAAGTAATATCTTTAGATGAAAATGCATTTCAATGATCGTGTTCTTCCCGATAATGTTGGTGGCAGTGCCCACGGTTGAGGACAACAGTGGTGTTAAACATGTCCTGCTCGGTCCTTAACCAGCAGCTATGATCTACAGGTAAATACAGTGAGAGTGCAGATAAGCTGGTCAACTACACTTCAGAAAACAGGAAAGTGTTTTTCTTTCTTGAAAGTATGAAAGGGCTGGAAGCCTAAGGTGTCACACAAACTTCACCAGTGAGCAAACTACTGAAAAGTGAAACGTCTTTGACAAATAGGATTGTAAGACACACGAAAACAAGGGTGACATACACAGAACATACACAACAAAATTACCTCTATGACTCACCTGGCCTGAACGTAATTTAATGACCAAACAAAATGACACACTGAATTCCCATCAATATTTAAAATACACAGTAAGAGCATATTTCTTAAAAGGACTTAAAACAAGGAATAGAACATTTACAGACGAGGAGTCACAATAACGTGGCTGAAAAATGTTGACCAAACCACACACTAGAAAGTGAAGAGACGAAGACGTTTCAGTCCGTCCTGGACCATTCTCAAGTCGATTGATTATCACAATCGACTTGATAACGGTCCAGGACGGACCGAAACGTCGTCGTCTCTTCACTTTCTAGTGTGTGGTCTGGTCAACAATAGAACATTTACCAAAGCTTTACGGAAATTTATATTTAAGACACACAATAAGAGCATATTTCTTAACAGGACTTAAAACAAGGAATACAATGTTTACTAAAGCTGTATAAAGTTTGCAATCCAGTTGTTATACAACAAAACAAAGTTAAGTGTTTTTAAAAAATAAGTAACTTCCTCCCAACATAAACAAAATTATCCAAGGAAATAATGGGAAAGTTACCTTGCTATCATAGTCTCTGTCCCACATATCATTGATAGTGCACCCAGCACCCCGCATCACAAGGGTACCAAACGCAAACAGCGCTAACATGCCCAGGTCTGGCAGACACCCCGGTGGGGCTGCCAGAGCAATACTCCAGCCACACGGCCAAAACAGGAGCCAAGACCCAATGGGGCGGTCAAGCCGCATCAGCTGGAGGTATGCGCGTAAGGTCTTTGGCGCATTTTGTACTAGTCTTTGAGGAATGGTTGGATTTGGTCCATAATCCAAGGACAAATCTACACCAGCCGTATCTATTTTTTTATCTTTTTCATGTATATTATTGGGTTGTGGGAAATTGGAGTCTGAAACTCTACTACCAGACTTATCTATATGCACTCCATCATGAGTCCTTTGCAGCTGTTTCACAAACAAAATACTTTTAGGAGATTTTGGAATACCACTGAAATATCTCTCCCGGCTGACGTTACAGTGGTGAGAGTTTGGCGCGATAACACGACGTCTCTGGCACTCGCAGGTCAGAAACATACACCTCGGACTCGTAGTGCAACACGAGTGGCGGGTAACATAAATGAGCGAGTTGATTTTTCTGTGGCCAAGGATGGCTAAAGATCCTCCACGAGGCACTCTCCTCACCATCCATTGGAGCAAAGACATTCCCTTCCTAACACTCTCTCCTGGAAAAGAAAATTAATTGATAAAATGTTGTACATACATTGATATACACTATACATACACTGTATATATATATACATTGAGTCTTTAACTATAAACAAGAGACAAATTTTAATATTGTTAAGCAAAGCTAATATTATTCATTATTATCAGCATAATTTAGAGCAACCTTTCTGAACTTCTGAGCTTTGAGCCTTGAACTTAGAAAAAGAGTTACAGATGCACAGACCCACAGCCATAGATAATTCAAATGACTGAGAGCACCGCTGTGTTTATAGTCTACCTGGCTCAATGTTTCACCATGTATTCCTTCCTAACCCAACATTTCTTCTGCTCCAAATATACAACATTACACATGATGCCGGGAGCCCAAACATTACTATGGGCTCCACCAAACACTACTCAAATGGAGACAAAACTTCAGAATCAACATAATAATGAACATGAAATATGGCAGACTTTCATTCAATCCAAGTTTTACTGATATGTCTTGATTGTCCAGCAATGTTTCTCATGTATGAAGTTGGAGTTTGTGTGTTGTATCATATATCATTAGACTGGATTCCCTCAAGCAGGTTTCCACTGTAAAAGTAGGAACAACTGTTCAATAGAAAATTTGGTGTAACAAAAAAGGTTCACAACCAGTTGTTTTTATTCAAGAAATAAAAGATTTTTACAGATTTGTATAGGGAATGATAACTATTTTTTAATTTACTGCATAGGCTATCCAACGTAGGATACAAATCCAACGAAATGTGTGACCATAAAAATGATTAAACAATTTGGATTGTTTATAGTATTGGTTATGTAGAAATATTAAACTATCGCGATTATCAGCTTTGGCAGTGGTGAACAACTCTCAGTTTATTCCTTTAAACACACATATCTTTTCCTCTATTCCAGATAGTTTAATGCCTTAAATTTCAAAATAAAGTTCATACTTTGCTTTAACTCTATGAAATACAGCAATACTGTATTAATGGCCCAAATGGCACAAATGATACAACATCAAACATTTTTACATTATGGTAATGTCAATGCTTATCAACTGGACATCTGTCAAATTTCCTTCTTTTTATCCCATATTTGTTATGTTAATGGATGCCACAAATCAGAAACATACAAAAATCATTGCAGGATGACCAAAGTCATCCCAGAAATATGTGGCTCAAGTCTAGCTGTACTACGTCATCACTACTCCTTAAACATAAGCTGAAGAAAAATGTATATATACTATATATTCCACATGTGGGGTGTGTAATGTATTTATTATTTGTGTCTGCAGAATTGAGTTATTTGTTCTTGGACTCCGCCTTTCTAACCAATCTATTTTTCCTCTATTATGTCTACTACAAATATTTGTCTCTAACACACCCAGAATGACCAATGTGACCAATTTGCCAGAATGTAATTGCCATATTATAATAGCATCCAGGAATGAGTTTGCACAAAGAGTACAATATGGCTGACACTTCAGCGACTAACATGAATAATTAATTAATTTTGTCAAGACAGGCAGCCTGTGTATATATGTACTGTACATTAGGCTTATATCAACCATGCCCCCCCCCCCCTCCAAGGTCGAATTATTGGCCCCTACCAGCATACAATCCCGCACCAAACTGAATAACTCCCGGGTACCTATTCACTGCTAGGTGGACAGTGGCATTAGGTAAAGAAAATGCGCCTAACCATTTCCGCAACCCGCCCGAGATTCAAACCCGGGATTCCCGAATTGTGAGTTGAGAATGAAACCAAAGATGACAAGTCACGGGCTGCTGTGACCTTGAGCTCCACCGGTGTCACAACGCCTCAGATGACCTCAGTAACCCGCGTCACGTGACCCACACGACGGTAAGCCACGACACACGGCGGAACTTTCCTGTTTTAACCAAACTTGACCACCAACAGCATTGCGTCATGACTGACAACCACGCCAGAAATACCATCAAATAACTCCCCTCCCCCAAAACAACTATTTACCGCCTCTTTTTCGATTTGTGAGTGTTATAACCGGCATCAGGAGCCGGTTATAACACTCACAAATGCACAAAAAAGGCAAGAAAATCGGGTAATTCTCACATGATAAAGAAAAATATCGTTGCTCCGCCCTCACCGCCGCCCGGGTGGTTGCCACCTCCTGTTTTTATTTTGTTTATGTTCGCGAGACGTTAAGTTCCCGCCACTGTTTCTCATCTGGTAAATATTTCTTTCCATAGCTCAGCCTTGGTCTCATGAATTTTATTATATATATGGCAAATCAGATAGGATAAATATTTTAATATTTTTCATGTGGTGATTGGGGAAAGAAGACACGGGGGGAACTATCGACAAGCCGCATGCTAACTGTCCCAGTCGAGGCCTCGGGAAACTGTAGCCTCCAGGTAAATCCAGGTACACTGTATATGGTCTGGGTCCTGGTGCGTGTATTGTCCTCTCTGTTGGTCAGGGTCCTGGTGTGAGAGTATTGTCCTCTCTGTTGGTCTGGGTCCTGGTGTGAGAGTATTGTCTTCTCTGTTGGTCTGGGTCCTGGTGTGAGTATTGTCCTCTCTGTTGGTCTGGGTCCTGGTGTGAGTATTGTCCTCTCTGTTGGTCTGGGTCCTGGTGTGAGTATTGTCCTCTCTGTTGGTCTGGGTCCTGGTGTGAGTATTGTCCTCTCTGTTGGTCTGGGTCCTGGTGTGAGAGTATTGTCTTCTCTGTTGGTCTGGGTCCTGGTGTGAGTATTGTCCTCTCTGTTGGTCTGGGTCCTGGTGTGAGTATTGTCCTCTCTGTTGGTCTGGGTCCTGGTGTGAGTATTGTCCTCTCTGTTGGTCTGGGTCCTGGTGTGAGTATTGTCCTCTCTGTTGGTCTGGGTCCTGGTGTGAGAGTATTGTCCTCTCCGTTGGTCTGGGTCCTGGTGAGAGTATTGTCCTCTCTGTTGGTCTGGGTCCTGGTGCGTGTATTGTCCTCTCTGTTGGTCTGGGTCCTGGTGTGAGAGTATTGTCCTCTCTGTTGGTCTGGGTCCTGGTGTGAGTATTGTCCTCTCCGTTGGTCTGGGTCCTGGTGAGAGTATTGTCCTCTCTGTTGGTCTGGGTCCTGGTGTGAGTATTGTCCTCTCTGTTGGTCTGGGTCCTGGTGTGAGTATTGTCCTCTCTGTTGGTCTGGGTCCTGGTGTGAGTATTGTCCTCTCTGTTGGTCTGGGTCCTGGTGTGAGAGTATTGTCCTCTCCGTTGGTCTGGGTCCTGGTGTGAGTATTGTCCTCTCTGTTGGTCTGGGTCCTGGTGTGAGTATTGTCCTCTCTGTTGGTCTGGGTCCTGGTGTGAGTATTGTCCTCTCTGTTGGTCTGGGTCCTGGTGTGAGAGTATTGTCCTCTCTGTTGGTCTGGGTCCTGGTGTGAGTATTGTCCTCTCTGTTGGTCTGGGTCCTGGTGTGTGTATTGTCCTCTCTGTTGGTCTGGGTCCTGGTGTGAGAGTATTGTCCTCTCCGTTGGTCTGGGTCCTGGTGAGAGTATTGTCCTCTCTGTTGGTCTGGGTCCTGGTGTGTGTATTGTCCTCTCTGTTGGTCAGGGTCCTGGTGTGAGAGTATTGTCCTCTCTGTTGGTCTGGGTCCTGGTGTGTGTATTGTCCTCTCTGTTGGTCAGGGTCCTGGTGTGAGAGTATTGTCCTCTCTGTTGGTCTGGGTCCTGGTGTGTGTATTGTCCTCTCTGTTGGTCAGGGTCCTGGTGTGAGAGTATTGTCCTCTCTGTTGGTCAGGGTCCTGGTGTGAGAGTATTGTCCTCTCTGTTGGTCTGGGTCCTGGTGTGTGTATTGTCCTCTCTGTTGGTTTGGGTCCTGGTGTGTGTATTGTCCTCTCTGTTGGTCAGGGTCCTGGTGTGAGAGTATTGTCCTCTCTGTTGGTCTGGGTCCTGGTGAGAGTATTGTCCTCTCTGTTGGTCTGGGTCCTGGTGTGTGTATTGTCCTCTCTGTTGGTCTGGGTCCTGGTGAGAGTATTGTCCTCTCCGTTGGTCTGGGTCCTGGTGTGAGTATTGTCCTCTCTATTGGTCTGGGTCCTGGTGTGAGAGTATTGTCCTCTCTGTTGGTCTGGGTCCTGGTGTGTGTATTGTCCTCTCTGTTGGTCAGGGTCCTGGTGTGAGAGTATTGTCCTCTCTGTTGGTCTGGGTCCTGGTGTGAGAGTATTGTCCTCTCTGTTGGTCTGGGTCCTGGTGTGAGAGTATTGTCCTCTCTGTTGGTCTGGGTCCTGGTGTGAGAGTATTGTCCTCTCTGTTGGTCTGGGTCCTGGTGTGAGAGTATTGTCCTCTCTGTTGGTCTGGGTCCTGGTGTGAGAGTATTGTCCTCTCTGTTGGTCTGGGTCCTGGTGTGAGAGTATTGTCCTCTCTGTTGGTCAGGGTCCTGGTGTGAGAGTATTGTCCTCTCTGTTGGTCTGGGTCCTGGTGTGAGAGTATTGTCCTCTCTGTTGGTCTGGGTCCTGGTGTGAGAGTATTGTCCTCTCTGTTGGTCTGGGTCCTGGTGAGCGGGGTTCGAGTTCTTCACAGTGGTGATCTTCCCACTGGATGACAAACGCCACATTTGCTGCCTTTACTGTTTCATATGTTGGACTTACTATGTCTGTGTTATTGATCTATACACTGGTTGAGTACTCACTTTGTTGTGCTTGCGGGGGTTGAGCTCTGGCTCTTTGGTCCCGCCTCGTAACAGTCAATCAACTGGTGTACAGGTTCCAGAGCCTATTGGGCTCTATCATATCTACATTATAAACTGTGTATGGAGTAAAAAACGATTCTTCGCGGTAAAAAACGATTCTTCGCGGCAGGGGATCGTATTCCAGGGACCATAGGATTAAGGACTTGCCCGAAACGCTACGCGTACTAGTGGCTGTACAAGAATGTAACAACTCTTGTATATATCTCAAAAAAAAAAAAAAAAAGAGTCAGCCTCCACCACATCACTGCCTAATGCATTTCATTTGTCTACTACTCTGACACTGACAAAAATCTTTCTAACGTCTCTATGGCTCATTTGGGCACTAAATTTCCATCTGTGTCCCCTAGTGCGTGTGCTCCTTGTGTTAAATAGTTTGTCTTTATCTACCCTATCAATTCCTCTTAGAATCTTCTATGTGGTGATCATGTTCCCTCTAACTCTTCTGTCTCCCAATGATGTGAGGTTTAATTCTCGTAGTCTCTCCTCGTAGCTCATAATTCTCAGCTCGGGTACTAGTCTGGTGGCAAACCTTTGAACCTTAGTCTTATGCTTGACTAGATATGGACTCCATTCTGGGGCTGCATACTCCAGGATTGGCCTGACATATGTGGTATACAAAGTTCTGAATGATTCCTTACGCAAGTTCCTAAAGGCCGTTCTTATGTTAGCCAACCTGGCATATGCCGCTGATGTTATCCTCTTGATATGAGCTTCAGGGGACATGTCTGGCGTGATATCAACCCCCAGGTCGGTCGGTCGGTCGGTCGGGGTCGGGGTCGGTGTCTGTCTGTCTGTCTGTCTGTCTCTGTCTGTCTGTCTGTCTCTGTCTGTCTGTCTGTCTGTCTCTGTCTGTCTGTCTGTCTGTCTGTCTGTCTGTCTGTCTCTGTCTGTCTGTCTGTCTGTCTGTGTCTGTCTGTCTGTCTGTCTGTCTGTCTGTCTGTCTGTCTGTCTGTCTGTCTGTCTGTCTGTCTCTCAGTCTCTCTCTCTCTCTCTGTCTCTCTCTCTCTCTCTCTCTCTCTCTCTCTCTCTCTCTCTCTCTCTCTCTCTCTCTCTCTCTCTCTCTCTCTGTCTCTCTGTCTCTCTCTCTCTCTCTCTCTCTCTCTCTCTCTCTCTCTCTCTCTCTCTCTCTCTCTCTCTCTCTCTCTCTCTCTCTCTCTCTCTCTCTCTGACTCTTTAAGTATTTCGTCTCCCAAATGATACCTTGTATCTGGTCTCCTGCTTCCTACCCCTATCTTCATTACATTACATTTGCTTGGGCTAAACTCTAACAACCATTTGTTCGACCATTCCTGCAGCTTGTCCAGGTCTTCTTGAAGCCTCAAGCTGTCCTCCTCTGTCTTAATCCTTCTCATAATTTTGGCATCGTCAGCAAACATTGAGAGGAATGAGTCTATACCCTCTGGGAGATCATTTACATATATTAGAAACAGGATAGGTCCGAGTACAGAGCCCTGTGGGACTCCACTGGTGACTTCACGTCAATCTGAGGTCTCACTCCTCACTGTAACTCTCTGCTTCCTATTGCTTAGGTACTCCCTTATCCACTGGAGCGCCCTACCAGTTACACCTGCCTGTTTCTCCAGTTTATGCATCAACCTCTTATGGGGTACTGTGTCAAAGGCTTTCCAACAATCCAAAAAAATGCAGTTCGCCCATCCTTCTCTTTCTTGCTTAATCTTTGTCACCTGATCGTAGAATTCTATTAAGCCTGTAAAGCAAGATTTACCCTACCTGAACCCATGTTGATGGGTTGTCACGAAGTCCCTTCTCTCCAGATGTGTTACTAGTTTTTTTTTCACGATCTTCTCCATCACCTTGCATGGTATACATGTTAAGGACACTGACCTGTAGTTCAGTGCCTCTTGTCTGTCACCCTTTTTGTTTATTGGGACTACATTAGCCATCTTCCATATTTCTGGTAGGTCTCCCGTTTCCAGTGACCTACTATACACTATGGAGAGTGGCAAGCAGAGCGCTCCTGCACACTCTTTCAATACCCATGGTGAGATTCCGTCCGGGCCAACAGCCTTTCTCACGTCCAGATCCAACAGCTTAACCTCATCTCTAGTAATTTCGAACCCTTCCAAGGTCGCCTGGTTTACTGCCACCTCTTTACTGCCGTTTACTGGATGGTGGAAGTGTTCATTGGGATGGGAAAGTACATGCTG